GGCATTCGGACAAATAGACAGATATTTTTCGACAAATACTCAGTGCGTATGTTCGCCCCCATGTGGAATAGGTAATTCAGGCCTGACATCCATGGTTAAAACGACCTTAACGCATTGCAGCAGCCTCAATGTCAGGCGTTTAGGAACGTAATTAGAATGCGCAGTCATTCATATGATGAGAGGCTAAAACGATTGGGGGTACTCAGTGGACGGTATCGCAGATTACGATTGCAGGTTGGAAGCAACAAGCAGAGGTTTCTCTATGTAGCTGCATCTAATGTCACTCAGGGACAAAGACCCGTTATGTTGTGGTTCACTCGATATATTTTATGTCGACAAAGTGCTTATAAAGGAACTTCTTAAATTCCGACACCGACTTTGCCTCAACTACGTGTTGCGGCAGGTCGTTCCATACATTCACTATTCTGCGTTCGAAACAGTGTTGGTGAGCGACCAGCTTCAAATCCGTAACGCCAACCATGTACCAGTGTCCTCGTGTGCTGCTTGGTGTGCGCAGATGAAGCAACGGCCTCAACATAGGGTAATCTATCAGATGTAATATCCGGTGCGTTATGATGAGGTCAACCCTCAGCCGACGATATGCTAGGGTGTATAGCCCCAGTTTCTTACACCAGTCTTCGTACGGCACACCTCGTAAGTTGGGAATCTGTCTCGTGGCTATATGCTGCACTCGCTCAATCTTTTCTACCTCGCCCCGGGTGATAGGAGAATACGCGGGAGGGCCATACTCTAACATTGGTCGCATTATTGAGACGAAGAAGGGAGTGGCAATCTCTTCGGACCAAGTGCTGAAGCTGCGCCTGAGCGCCCAAAGCATACGCAGGCTGTTTTGGTAAAGTCTATTCGTGTTGTCCATGGACTTTAAGTCGCAGCGTGAGAGTACACCGAGGTCTCGCACGAAAGGCACGGGATGCAACGGTTGACCGGTCACCGTGTAGCTTCCACTGTGCCCACACGTACCCAGCCCCATGAATTGCGACTTGACCGGGTTGATCGGAAGGTTGACCTCTGCAGACCACGTGGAGAGGCGGTCGAAGTCCTGCTGAAGCAGGTCACAATCACTGGGTGTGCGGATTACTCTCCACACCTATAAGTCATTTGCGAATAACGCACAAGGTGATTTGAGTAGTTGAGATACATCGTTTAGATGGATCAGAAACAAAATCGGCCCCAGCACTGTGCCTTGGGGCACGCTAATGATCGATGGATACCAGTCGGTCAAATGGTTGTCCACCTGGACCCTCCACTTTCGATCAACAAGGAAATTCTTGATCCATCGATGAAGCGAGCCGCCAACACCGCATACCCTCAGCCTGTCGAGGAGCACTGCATGATTCATCTTGTCAAAAGGCTTACTGAAGTCAACGTAAACGACGTCGACCGATTTGCCTTGGTTCAGCGCTTGTAACCATTCGTGGCTCATCAACAGTAGGCTGGTGATGCACGAGCGACCTTTCACGAAACCATGCTGTGCGGGCGCCAAGAGGCTTTTCGACTCTAGAAGCTGCAGAAGACTCTTCTTCACGATCTTCTCGAGCGTCTTTGCCAAAACAGCGATCAGGCAGATCGGTGGGGAGACCTGATTATGGCATACTTGATTCTGGACGACCCACATCATGTGTGCTGCTTCTTACTGCAACTCAGCAGCAATACAAACCTGAATGGTCACTCACTCAAACGCGCAGAACAGCATAGCTGTCTGGAATGCCGCAGGAATTTCTTTTCCATTCGTGCATGTCACCCATGGAATGCCCTCCCAGCAACGGTCGTCTCTGCACCGACACTAAGAGTATTTAAAAGACCATTGCATGATGCACTCATCCACTTACACTTTGCTACCTAGCGTTACTCCCGGAGTGCACCTTGGATTTATATGATGTTAATTGTGGATCTACGTGGATTGCAGGATTAAAGCGGAGGAAACGATAAGTCCTTCTGTGCATAGTAAAAGTAATGTTTTATTATTATTTCGATATCCCCACCAACTATCCGAGGGGATTTGTAAAGCAGCGCTTCTTAATCCATATAAACTCATTGTGCATTGAACTGTATGTTCAGTCAGCGGCAACCAACGGGTACGAATCCCTTATCTCGCCCTGCGGCCTTGTACGTTAAGCCCTTTGGCTGAAAACCCGTAGCTGTGGACCCTTAAAACAAGCCACATAAAACGGCATAGACAACCAGGTGGTATCTCGTTTACTGAAGGACTATGGAACCGCACAATTATGTTCACTGCCTTCCACTCTCATGATGTTCCACTACCCTGCTACAAAGCCAACTTTACGAACATTTGCCACCAATTTATATGCCCTTCCCTTGAATCACTTATCACCATTGATACTTCATTCTTCAACAGTGAACAACTCTATCTCCGTTAATGAAGTTGGTCTCTTACCGTGGGTCGCCTCAACTAAAAAGTCTTCCACAGGGAACTGACAGCCAGGAAGCCTGCCAACTTCACTACTGTGACAAGCAACGCAGCTCAAACTGCAAACGTTTAATGGACGCATACTACTGTAGATCGATCGGTATGCTAGACTTGCGCGCACGCTGCAGACGGTTGAAGTTTTTCAGATAAGGCACCAGTGTATCGGCAACAATGGATTCCATGACTTTGGAGACTACGGGGAGAAAGGGGCCAGTTAAGTTTCCGCCTTTGTACATCAGGGTTATTATTCCAAGCTTCCACGTAGCAGCAACCTGGTTCTGCTCTAAGCAGCACTGGGAAAACAGCTATAGGTCCTGCCAGTTGGCGTACTACTGCTCCCAGTGCCTCTAGACGAGTGGTATCAACACTCGGGTAGCTGGAATTACGTACAGACAGCCTCCGCGGTAAAAAAAAAGATAAGAGTTAATCCTGGTGGCTGGAATATCGCTTAATGGCAAGACTCTCTGCAACGTGGGGGCATATTGCATCCACAGCACGTTTACTGCCTTCATAGCCGTTCTTGTTGGTCCATCGGATATACTGAGTGGAGGAAATCCTTGCCTCACTTTTCCTAGGCCATTGACATGCTTATACAGCAGTTTGCACTGAAGGTTGTTACGATGTTTTGCTGAGAAGCGGCTTTGTCTGCTCTGAGCAATTGAGTGCAGTAATTACGTTGGGCCACGTAGTTCTCCCAACTTTCTGGCGTTGGAGCCTCTCTGCATTCTCACTATGCTGCGTTGCGTACTGCCATCCATTTTGGTGTTATGCTCCTAATGAGAAAAAACTGATGTAGACTTATTGCAAACTGTTATCTGTGAAGCATCTGTAATCAGCTGATTGAATTTTGTTGACGAACTCCAGCCAGGCGACTTCCGGGGATACTACGACAAGGAATGGTCAGCGCTCACGAGCTGGGCTAATCGATCGTAATTTGTGACCGTTTGCACAGTATCATAGTTCGCATTCCGATATTCCGCATAACCTTTAGGATGGCAAAAAGCAATAACAGGGGACCGAGGCTCAAAGAATAGTTGCACTAAGCCATGGTCCGTTTCGCATATGATTTATTGTTCGCTAAAACAGGTTGCCGTGGCTAATTTAACTGTACATGAAGCTTACTTTATCCAAAGTTATCCAGCGTGTTAATGGACTCCGGAATGGTGCGCAGCTTTTTCATTGTTATCAGTCTACCATAGAAGTACCTTGAGACGGGGCTGGTACTTACTGAAATTTCGAACTCCGCCTTCATCCGCAAACGACGAACTTCAAGGGGAACGATTGGCTCGGCAGAAACCCACTCCACAAGAGTCGACGTCGCTTTCTTCAAGTGCACTGCGACTGACTCCCCTGTGCTGCCTCATCGGTTCAGTGGATTCGTACACGAGTATCCGGTTGCGGCAAGTTTTTGCTTTCACCTTCAGGATACAGGCAACCAGCTTCCAATTGTCCCCTTCCTCATACGCTTTCAGTATTCACCCTTCACCTCTATCAACTGACGCGCATATGATCCTTTACCCACAATTGCGTTTACCTGAACTGCACAATCACACCCAAACTTATTTGCTGCGGCTTGTTATGCCACCCACAATTGTTGTACAAACGTCTATTCTCGTCCTAATTGGTGGGATGCGTTTATTTGGGTGGAGAAACGGGCACACATGATGCATCGGCTGCGGACGTTGTAGAACGTAGTGGATGAATCTTCCTACTTGCACACGCCAATTTGTGCCTGAGGCCCTATGATTGAAAGCGCATGGCTATACACGCAGCCGGTAACCCAGTGGTCTGCGCACCTGATTTGCAACTATAAGGTCACCGGTTCGAATTCGAGTAGGAGTGGGCGTCCCTGTTGTACAATCAGCCCGCGCGCGACTGGTGGTGGTCACGTAGAAGCGAATCGGCGTTACGGCGGACAAAAGGCGCAGCTACACACGTGCGCAAGTGAGCGTCACGCGCCCGAATCAAATCAGCTGAGTAACGACCCAACTTGTTTGCCTCTCAGCGAAAATCGTTTGCTGTTCAGCCCAATGCTCTGGTTCAACGGACCAGCTAGACCGAGAAATGGTGTAGATAAACTTGAGTTGATTTGAGCATTTCGAGACATTTTGTGGCTGCAATAATTATTCTTATAAGGTGCTACCTGATCGATTTCATTCATTTTATAGTGATTTTTCAAAAACGTTCTCTTTCTCTTCCACGCGTACGAAATTTAACATTGTATTCTTCCACATGTCACTGTAACGTAGTACTGTCTTGTCTTGTCTAAGCACGTTTGATCGTTGACCCAGTGAAAGTTATAAACATACTGCGTGAACGGTTGTTGTAGTGACATTGGTGCATATTTTTCATTTTGATTCCCAAGTATGTATATTGAGATTATCACCCAGCTTGTTTGCAGTGGTTGTTTAAACGCTGAAAGTGAACCCATCAGGGTTCATAGAGCTTGTTTTGAGTTGACTTGAAGCAAGTTTATTCTGATGCATTCGATCGACTTATGTGGTAAACTAATGGTGTAACACCCAAATCAACAACGCATCGCAAATCGAAGCTCAAGCGTCTTGGGAAAATTCGCACATATTCTATCTACCGCGTAGAAGTCGGATGAGGAAGACACTTCATTGTATTGATACATAATGATGAAAAGGTTATCAGTCACTTGGAAGAACACAATCCAGCGCATTGCGTGCCGTGACAACTTGGTGAAGTGTTAACTCAGTCCAGGAGCTTGTTTGTTTATGGTGCGTGATGGAGCGAAACCCAGCATCTTTTGCACATTCTGTATGAAATGAAAGACACACGTAGACAGATTGAGGTCAAGGGTATTAGGAGTGGGAAGCCACACAGTGATCCATTCTCGTGTGAATGGAAGCAGCAAATAACAGGGGAAACCAATACTACCGGTGCATCAACTATGGAAGCAGAAAGAAACTAAGAGACATGGAGTTGTCGATCGGCTGATCTGCCGCAATGGATGCTGTAGTGGACCAGATAGAGCTTTGGTATCTTGGGTGGCAACCGATGCGAATAGCCTGCACGGGTCACCGCATATTGGCAGTTTTAAATATTAAATTCAGCAGAAATAATAATAATAATAATAATAAATAATAATAATAATAATTTAGGATCCTGATAAGAAGCCGCATAAAGTGGGATGCAGGTTCATCGCACCGAGCATCCAAGTCAGACAAATCAACATCAAATTTCTGCCACGATGAAATGAGCACCATGAGTGGGTGGTCAAAACGGGTGTGCTGAACAGTAACACCACAGTGGATGGATGGACAGAAAGAGAAATTATAGATGTGCCTAGGTTGTGGTCAAGTGTCTACACGTGTAGCGGTAATAAAAAGTACGTTGAGTATGATGGTATTCTGTTACATCTACCGTTCTGAGACAGACTGTATTTAAGAAAAAGTAGAAAAGTATCGGTACAACAATATCGCATTATGAAAAATCAAAAACGAACATTTGGCACGCCGACTTTCCGTCTATTAGAGCCAAGGCAGTAAGTTTCCCATGCAACATCTTGCCGGATGATGATATACAGACGGCTTGGGATACGTTTAAGTCTTTCCTCCTTAACATATCCCACCCCCACATCCCTCTTTCGCTAAAGAATGGTGCCAAAGCGAAGCCACCATGGTTAGACTCAGTCGCACACCAGCTACTGAATAGACGGGCAAGATGCTGGCGGATCTACCGAACAGTTCTCTCAGAATGTACTTTTCGGCGCTATCGGGAAGCTCGGAATGCTTGCAAGAGTCATTTACGAGCTGCTAGACTTAGCTATGAGATGGAGCTGGCTAACTCAGCCTCCGCGAATCCCAAAAGATTCTTCGCCTACGTCAAAAGGCGTAGTAACGTTGGCTCATCTATCCCAGTGTTATTAGGCAGCGACGGCGCCACTGCCACCACTGATCACGAAAAAGCATGTCTATTGAGTGCGCAGTATGCCGGAACTTTTGTTCAGGATGAGCAATTGCCGCATCTTGACCTAGCAATGAGAGTCCCCCAGGACTCCTGTCTAACACACGTCACAATTTCGGAGGTAAAAGTTCTCCATCTTCTTCAGGCTCTAAATCCTGCTAAATCCGCTGGGATAGATGATATTCACCCTAAGCTTCTGTACGAACTAGCAAGCGAGCTATGTAGCCCAGTGACTCGTTTGTTTCAATTGTCGCTTCGCAGCTGCTTCTTTCCTAAGGACTGGAAGGATGCTATCGTTTGCTATCGTTTGCCCGATTTTTAAAAATGGCGACAAGCATCTTCCTGCCAATTATAGACCAGTAAGTTTGACAAGCGTACTAGTCAAAGTATTGGAGAAGTTGGTCAGTGATGTGCTTGAAGACCACCTGCGGGAGTATGGTCTGCTCAGTCCCCTGCAACACGGCTTTCGCAAGGGTCATTCCTGTATGACTAATTTGCTAGTTGCACGCGAATGTTGGGCGGATGCTTTGGATCGGGGTCATGCAGTAGATGGCGTGTTTATTGACTTCTCCAAGGCGTTCGATACTGTATCACATTCTCGCCTTTCCTTGAAACTTCGGTCCTATGGAATATCCGGGGGTATACTAAAATGGATCACCACGTTTCTGGAAGGGAGAGAGATGTGTGTTCGTGTCGGGTCTAGTCTGTCTTTCCGACAGTCAGTCCTCAGTGGGGTCCCTCAGGGTTCGGTGCTTGGCCCGTTGTTATTTTCCTTGTATGTCAACGAGCTGCCCGAACTGCTGGAGGTACCATCTCTCATGTTTGCAGATGACCTAAAGTTTTGGCACATAGTGTCTGACTTCGATGGACCCCAGATTCTGCAACGGGCCCTCAATCAACTTTGGGACTGGGCTGCTCTTTGGCAGTTGCCCATAAACTATGCAAAGTGTTCCATCTTACGAGTAGGGCCAAATAGCCCCCAAACGCGTTATTTTCTTGGCGGTAATGAACTCCACCATGTTACACAATTGGTAGACCTAGGGGTCACATTGTGTTCAGAACTTAAATCCAGTGAGAACTGGAGGAAAGCTACGTGCAAGGGTTTCAGAATGTTGTGGATGATCCGCAGGGCATTCGGGACCATCACGGGCGCTATGTTTGTTAGGTTATTCTCAGCGTTTGTCAGGCCACACTTGGAATACTGCATCCAGGCTTGTCCACCTTGCTTAGTCAGGGACAGGATGTCAGTGGAGAGAGTGTTGAGAGTTAAAACCCAACTGGTCCATGGACTGCGGAACCATTCTTACCCAGAAAGACTACTTGCGCTGGGAATGTTCTCGATGCACTATCGTCAACATCGAGGCGACCTAGTCTTGACCTATCGTATACTTACCGGTAAAATCGGACCCGATTTATACGGGCTTTTCCAACCGGCTCGGCTTCCATCGCTCCGAGGTCACTCGCTGAAGCTACACAAACCTCGATCGGATGGAGTCCGAGCGGACTTTCGTTTATCACGCCGAGTGGTGGATTCCTGGAATGCACTGCCTGAAAACGTGGTATTGGCACCAACAGTGAAAGAGTTCGAACACCGACTCGACGCTCTTGGCCTTCAGTTCTTAACATTCCCCTTCACTTCCTAGTTTATTCGTTTTATTGAATTATTAAATCTTTTTTTTTCTTGACGCTCTTATTACTTTCGTACTTCTCTTTCTTATTTCACGTGACCGGTGCGGCGGGGACTGCCAGTGCAGGTCGCGTGGGTATTAATTGGTTGACCGTGGTGTGATTCGCGCGCGCTGATCTGACTCTTCTGGATTCCAGTTATCGCGGACGAATAATACCCTGGATCGACGACGCGTCACAGAAGGAACATTCACGGGGATTTATCCTACCGTTCCGGTCCCACTTGAACTTGAATTGTCAGCGGTAGTATTTGGCCAGTTAATAGTCCATCCTTGTTCCGTTAGGAATTCGTATTCGTGACATCATTTCCGGGTATAGGATGTATATTTTTGCACTGTATGTGCACTGTTCCACAAAAGCACATAGTTTAAAAATAATCGGCAATACGTGTTTTAAAACACTTCACAGAATCGGCCTCTATTAGTCCTTCTGGTAGCGTATTCCATACGTATACGATTCCTCGTTCCATACAAAACTGATGTGATACCTTGTTCATGCAAGGGACGCTGAGTTTGTAACGGTGTCTTCGGGAGTTACAGGGTTCCCACAAGTGAAATATCGGCCGCAGTATGGAGAAGTAATTCAAGTGCAGTATTCGATAATTCATAATAAGGTCAATTCTTACACGGCGGTAGAATAGTGTGTAGAGCCCGAGCATTTCACAAGGTTTTTCATACGGAAGTTTTCGTAGACTGGGGATCATTCAAGTTACGATATGTTGTATGGTATCCAGCTCTTCTGTTTCCCACTGGGTTATCGGGTGATGAGCGACGTGAATAGGCGAGGGACGGTTTCTTCGGACCATGTGGAGGAACTGCGTCGTAATGCCCAGAGTCACGCACGGTACAATTTCTCTGTATTTTTTTAGTGAGCTCATATCAGGTCGCGAGAGCGCTCTGACAGATATATTAGAAACAGATATATTAGAGTGAAGCAACTGACCGTCCAAGGTGTATTTTTGAGTGCCTGCACATCTAGTGATACTGAGGAACTCCGACTTGTTTGGGTTAAGAGGGAGTTGCATTTCAGTGGACCACGTTGACAGTCAATCTAAGTCATGCTGGAGGCGAGCGCAGTCGTCCTGGTTCTAAATGATCCTCGATTTTCAAATCATCTGCAAATTGGGCACATGGTGACTGGAGCTGTTGCGGGAGATGGTTGATTTGAATAAGAAATAATGCTGTACCAATACAGTTCCTTGAGGCATGCCACTGGTAGATGGGAACCAGTCTGTCGGGTAGTCATTGACCTGTACTCTAAACTTTCGTCCCACAATTAACTCGTGTAACCACTGAAGTAGCGTGCCACCGATTCCGTAGGTCCTCAGTTTAGGAAGGGGTACCTCGTGGTTCACTCAAACGTCTTACTAAAGTCGATGTACACCACGGCAACACCCTTCAGTTCGTTGAGAGCACGTATCCACTGGTGGTTTGGGTATACCAAGTTGGTGATGCAAGATCACCCTTTCGTGAAGTCGTGTTGCACTGGCGTCAATACGTTCGTCGATTCGAAGAACGACAGTAGACATTTTTTCACAACCTCGAGAACTTTGGATAATATTGAAGTCAAACAGATCGGTCTAGTTCTCTGCTTTATTCGGATCACCACCCTTGAAAAGTGCTCTAAATAACGAGCATTTCCAGTCGTTGCGGACAGATCCTTCAGAGAATGATTTATTGAATAGGTTTGTCACGGCTGGTGAGATGACATTCGATAGGGACTTAAGTATTAGTGGGTGAAGTCTGTCTGGTTCGGAGGGCTTTGCACCATCGACGTTGATGAGTAGCTGATACACTTCGACTGCATCACATTGTAGGCTGTCAAGTAAGACAGGCGGAACCTGTGTCGGTACTGGAACAGCCGCCGGTTTACTGGAAAATGCGGTGAGGAAGTGCGAAGTCAAGGCGTCCGCGCGCTCGTAATGAGCGTGTGTTTAAGATAGGTAGGTCGCCCGCAGGTTTCAGTTGACGTTTCAAGTAGGCAAATGTTCTCGTGGGGGCGGTTGTGGCCGAGGCTGCTAGCTTTCTTGTGTATCGCGTTACAATAGCTGAAGTGTTTCCTACCTCTAGCCAGCGTGTATAATAATGATGACGATGCATGACTAAATTGACGTAGAAATTCAAACGAAAGGAAATCGCCTTGGAAAGTTAATAGGACAGAGTGTTTTAATGGTTGAGACTTAAAACTACATGGAAAATGTATTTAGTACACCAAGGTTTAAAGTGCTGCATCATTTTTCTAGTGATAATTAGTTGGTAAATCTCATAAGAACGGAAATAGGGTGGAAAATATGAGTTGTTTGTATCTTCATATCTTCACTAGTGGGGAGAATTGCACAGAAACAAATAGAGGCATACCTGGCGAATCGACATCGTGCATAGCATGTAGATGAAGATAAAGGACCCATCTGTGAAGTCGTCACCAGGCAAATTGCGATGCGACAGCCCACGGATCCATGGGATAGGCATGAACGGAAGTTTGGCTACCACGCGACCGTCAAACCTGGCAAAAGGAGATGGATTGAAATCGGTAAGCTGGTGGAAGGATGAATTGACGGGTAAGTGAACACAGAAAGGTTTTGGCCATTAAGTCTTTCGTTTTCATCCGCATAGGGTTCCATAATTATCACCCAAGCAACATATGTACCGATGCGTTGCGGCAACATACGCGTATCAGCCACATGAATCAAAAGTACTACAAAAGGGGAGAACGGCCAACGCGGAAGACAAAATTGCCTTAAAAATACCTTCCGAAGCAAGATGCAGATACGTGGTGGGTTGCTGTACGTGCCTGCGAGCGGTCTGCTGGAGTGCACCCAAGGCCAAAAACGAGGGCCACATATCGGAAAGGAACAACTATAGGATGGCCGCTAAGTAGACGGTGTCTGCTGAACTGATCATGGTGATTTGTCCTTCAGACCAAGAGGCAAGGTAACACATACCAGCATAGGTGCCATTTCAGTATAGTTAGACGACCTCGATGTACTGCATCGAAGTGAGATAGATTCAGTCATAACGACTCAGGTCGCCGTTAAAAGCAGATTAAAACAATGAACAGGATAGTGCTGACTACCGAACAGAAATAGCATACGTCAGTGCAATTTTGTCCATAAGATGGCGCATATCACTGGACCCATAGTTTGTGTTGGTACCCGACAGAACAACGCTTACTGTCACAGTTCCAATGAGGTACACATTTTCGAGGATGTGTCTGTGAGAAGTATATTAGTTCGTACTGACAAACGTAACTATTGTGGAGGTTCTCTTTGAAGGATTTGTGAGGTGTAGGGTGGGTGCATAGAAGTCGAGAAATTCAGTAGTTCTCAAGGCTCGAACTATAAAAACGCTTGCGAGTGAGTTCACACCCGGCAGACTGACATTAGGGACAATGCTAGAAATCAGTAGGGAATTTTTACTCTGCCAAAGTTCCCTACTGCTTTGATTCCGGCATTGCTCGCTTCATGGTACGAACAAATCGCGAACAACAGGCTTGTTGACCGTTTAGATTTAAAAGAGTGTAAGCAATTGTTCAAAAATTTATGGGTCTTGTGTTAACGTGCAACGGTACCCTACCTGAAAAGCATCATAGTGGGCAGAACGCGATTGGAGGAAACGATATTGGCCATCAAAGTGTATAGGATCTACGCGTGACGGAATGTACGCACAGAGTTAGATCCACCATATTCCTGGGATTCGTGAATCACCAGAACGAGGATGCGACAGGTCGACAACTTGCATCAACAGATCGTTTCATGCACTGTTCACGTCACCCCCAGAATCAGATGCAGATGAAAAGCGATGCGTGGAACTGGTCTGGAACGCACCAGCAAGGGTCCGAGAAGCTGAAATACCTACCGAAAGCATATCTAGCGTTTACTCATTAGCATCCGAAATTGGAAGTTGCTGCCACCGATGGTGACTGACTAGCAGGAGTATGACGCCCAAGTTCTCTCTCAGCCCATCCAAATAGTGGGAATGGCAGCCAGAGATGAGATCTTACCGAGCTAAGATGCCATCTAAAACACAGTATTCCTTACTCACCTCGAACCGTCCGCTCCTCGTACCCTTCCAACTGACGCTTCAAAGATCGTGGAAGAACTGTGCTTCGACAGCGCATTGGTGGGCAGTGGCAAGCTCCTCGTTCCTTCTCCAAATTCCCGTAACCATCGGGAGCCAGCGACAGTTAGTTCATTAGAAATCCGTGAGAATATTTGTAGCTCGGGATGCGGATGACGGTATGCGGGTGTTCTCCGAGCTGGCTAATTTGGATACAAACGTTTCATTGTCAGGCTAGACGACATCATCAGTGCGATTTATGCGGGCCACTTACAGATCCGTATCAGCCAGAATAACTTATCATGGTTACCAAGGGCAGCGGCCATTTCCATCGCTGATGCACGATGAGACCCCCAGGATGCGCGGGCTCCCTTCAGGTCAGCATGGAGTTTTGCCCGGAGCTCTTGGCGAGTTTTATTTTGTTCGCCTCCAGCCGGAATAAGCCGGCAAACATCGATAAGTTCCCGAGAGTACGAAGAGACTTAATGTCTATGTTGGCGGTTAGACTTACCACATGAGGATTTTACTGCTGCTAGTAAGGACTGGTGAATAGGAGACCAGTGAGCTTCAACTGCATCAAGTGAGCGCTTACACAACTCGCATGATAGCGTACTTTGATAGGCGCCGAGCAAATTATCAAGGGGATAAGTGGAAACATGCTACTGTTGGTGCTTCCCTTATTTCCTTTCCGCTTTTTTCTCTTACTACCCTCCTAACCTCATTAGTAGACCGCCCGTGGAATTGAAGATGAGGCCATGAACCGTATAGCAAAACCTCGAGGTGGATTTGTCAAACTCCGCCATCTGTGGCGCCGACGTGACGTCACTCTCTCCCTGAAGGGCAGAGTTTATAATGCAGCCGTTCGTTCAATCCTCCGATATGGCTGTGAAACCTGGCCCCAGGTAGACAGATATAAGGCTGGCTGCGTTGGACCATCGCTGCCTTCGCATGTTTGGTGGGAGCATCGCGTGAACAATGTATGGGCTCGGCGTCGTGTGTTTGGTGCAGGAAGAATGGGTGACTCGCTCAGCACCATTACATCACGCACCAGTCTCCGATGGCTGGGTCACTTGTCGTGCATGCCAGCCCACCGACTCCCGCGACGTGCGTTGTTTGCTCGCCCGGGGTCTGGATGGAAGAGGAGGGAAAGTCAAGCATTGACTGGGTCAAGAGTAGTGAAAACCCTTGCTGTGAAGCTGGCGTCGGTTTGTGCATCCCGACTGCCGGACTCGGATCCGAAGGATGATGAACCCGTTTGGTTGGACACACATGCTGATATGGCTAGAAACAGGCCCCAATATGGACGACGTAGTGGGTAATAGACAGGTAGGCAACTTGTCAACATGCACATCAAGCGCAGCCATACCGGGGATGTCAAGCAACAGCAAATCACTAGAGAGAAAGATAACAAAGAAAATAAATCGAGTAATGCATAAGGAAACAGTGACATAAATCTTAAATTAATGAGCATATGAAATAAGTTGTTTACAAGCGAATCCGAGATAAGTTCACGAGGTTAGAAAGTATATTTTACGGAGATGCCACAAACATGAAAATGTTATCGAAATTAACTACAATTGGCTTAAGCAACGTGTGCAAGTTTATAGAAGAGAGTACAGGTAAACGTTTATATGAGACAAAAAAGATAAGGACAAAATTGAAAACCCAGCACCTGAAATAAATCGTCTTAGCATGCAAGCACGCGGTTAGTAAATCGAATGCAGCGTACGTAAAAACGCTGCGCCAGTTCTGCCTACGTTCTCTGCAGGGCCGGTCGTCGCTTCGGTAGTGGTCCAGAGTGGCCTCGCTCATGCCTCACTAAGCCTGCCTGACTCAGGCACTCGCGACCGCATGTGCTACAGCACCATGTCGATGGAGTACAACCCATCGTTGCTTGCCGCTTCTTCTCTGCATGTGTGAGGTCTTTCTCCCGCACTTCGGCAACTGCCTTCGTGATTAGATCGCGCCATGCACGCCGATCAACCTCCTTCGATATATTGATCGCAAGCCGTGTACCATCGAAACTATGGCGGAATAGGAGAACAAAATTAGATTAAACGAAAAAAGAAAACAAACAAATTGTTTGTCCATTTTCCACTCGTAATTTTTGGGTTTTTTGATGTTTTATTGGGGGAGAGAAGGGGATGATCCATCCATGGTTCGTCAATGGGCGAGATACTACCCGGTTGTCCAGGCTGAAGTAGAGGGTTGTCTAAGAGGACGCTACCCCGAGCCTTTGATCCAAGATCTAACCTACAAGGCAGCAGGGCGATATGAGGGTATCGCAACTCGTTGGCAGCCGGTGACCAAACAACTGGTTCATACGCCTTTAGGACCGCATAGGGCCAGGGGCGCAACATACCCTTGAATTACAATGCCACTCGGAGAGAGGCAAGGGGCAGTGACTTTATTTAGTGACGAGTCACATCCACCACATCACAGTGTTGTTAAACAGACATTTGTGGCTTTTTATAGGGAGAACGCTTGTCAGGCGAAAACCCACCATATCCTGGAACACTGCCGGCGAAACATTCGCTGGAACGGGAGAATCCCGAACAAGTATGGTATCTAGCAGCTGTAGAAAAATAGCTAGCGCCGTTTTTACGCCGAAAGACAAACGGTTGTACTAGTATAGCTCATGGTGGGTGTTGATCGTCAAAAATACTTTTGAGTCCTCGGCAACATCTACCTGAAGGTATGCATCAGATAGGTCAAGCTTGGCAAAGCACCTGCCACCATTCAATTTCGCGGAGATGTCATCCAGTAATGGCAATGGGTAATGGTAGTCATCGAACGCAGCGTTAAGAGCAGTTGGGAAATCTGCGCAGAAGCGTTTTATCATCCGCTTACTCTACTGCGATAACGAGTGCGGACCGTGAAGCGTAGTTTACAGGTGTGATGACGCCGGTTCACTCCAGATCTTGCACGACGAGTGGCATCGCTGCATACGGCAAAGGTCATTTGGCTTTAAAGACTGGATTGGCTCCTGGTCGCAGAGACAACGTCGCTGTGAATTTGGTGCAATGGCTTAGGCTATGCTGAGGTACAGGGAAAAAATTTTCAGTAGACATGTCCTCTCTTTGACCGACTTTGCCAATGCACCTGGATTCGTTCGAATTCTATTGTAAACCTGATTCAATGAAACATCGAACAATCGCAATTTTTCCATTCAGTCTAGCCCAAGAAGGTTCAAATCTGGCCTATCTGACATGTAAACCGACCTCGTTTCTTCCACACCGTTGAATGCCACTGCGCAGGTAATTTATGTAATTAGGTTGAGCACGACATCGGACGCATTTTGGGCTATTCTGTGAGACTTGATCATCGTTGGCTTCTTTATATAATTCCAAGTGTTTCTGGAAGTGATGATGTCTGACGGCGTGTCAAATTGTGGCTTCGTTGAGATACCGTTGTTGATTAGCACGATGATGAATAGTCGTAGTGGCTTAGGTTCACTATGAAATGCGGCAATTGCAAGAAGCGATTCTGTACCATGCTTCCGAGAGATCTACAATGGGTAGAACTTCTTCGTGTCCTTCGGCCGGGCCTGGCTGCAGTATTCTTCTTTATGGCCCCGATTACGGCTCTTTTCGCAGAAGCGATGTTTGAATGGGCAGAAACGCGAAAAATGCCATTCGCTGCAGGAGCAGCAGGCTGTAGGTGGTCTGTTCGAGGCCTTCTGGAACGGTTTGCTCAGGCTAGCATTCCTGGCATTTTTCACAACGTGAACGGCATCGAATGATGCAGGGCAACAATGTTCGGTCAGGGCGGTGTATTGCTTCAAAGTGAGCAATCGCTTGCGTTCTCTAACAAGAGCCTTCAGTGTCAACTCTGGGTCTTGATCAAGTTTAGCAAGAGGCATCGTGCGGACGTCAGCATCAAAGGGGGTTGCAGAGCACTGACGAAAATGAGACACTTAAATTAGTCGTCCATCAAATATCGTAGCCTAACGCGCTCACACTTGCGGTTAACCAAGTCTGCTAGCGCCCAATAATTGTCCATTTCCCGTTTGACAATCTCTAGGCATAGATAACGAATGCCAAACGAAGATGACTCACCAAATATTTCAGAGCCGTGAGACCGCTTCGTCGAAAGTCAGGCCCTTTGGTTGTTTGGGCAGAATATGGTCGATGAATCTTGAATGCTCGCTCGCGCCGAATTTGTGAAGTAACAAACGCACTTTCCAGGGATCGTCCTGACGACTGAAGTCCGTCCGGAACATATCTTTCAGCGTTTGAACTATGCCTCAAAAGTGAAACCGGAATCTGCGTCAAAAGTGAAGCTACTGATCGCATTGGTGAGAAGATCAACAGAATTCGCACGCGTGTTCCGTGCTAATGCTCATGCAAACAAGCAATTCATCAACTTTTTAATCATTTTCATTGGAGCATCCATCTGGGATTGCTGTTGCAAAAGCTGCCTCTGAAATTGCTCAACGGAAAAATTCAGCACATTTTCAGATTTGTTTATCGCCATTTGTTAAATCTTTTCAAATGCTGCAATACGCAAACATTCGCTCAATCAATTCCGTACGACCTCACACCCAAAAGAAGGAAAATGTCAAAACGACCTTGTCCAAAATAACCGCAGTCAAACTGACCGTGTACAAAGACGGCAGACCATGGTCATATGTATAGGTCGCCCCATAACCTCCTACTTCTAGAATTAGAAGGTTAACTACCAAAATTACCAGTGCCACCCTGATCCCGCAATTTTCAAGAAAGCGTCAGTCACGTGTTGGAATATTCCAGTAAGTTAGAAATCGATGCGATAGTCGGTTGCAATCGATAAACCTCTGAAATAATCCTTTTCCGAGCAATTCTTACTTGCTCCCGGACAAGTTGCAAAGAATATGCCGAAGTGTGCAGCAATACGCGTCAGTCGATCCAGCAAAGTTTGCATAGTCACTGCGTCGGACACAAGAAAAGCTATCTTGTCCGCATACTCCAGGTTTGTCAGTCGGTCACCTAGCGGAACTGCCACTTTGGTAGACTCAGAAAGGACAGGTTAGTTCATGATTCTTTCGATCATAAAGTTAAAGAGGAGAGAGTGCACAACCGTGAGGAACCCCACTTGACATGGGGAACTCATGAGACAGTTACCAGCAGAGACGGTCTCGGGGTTCACAACAGAGTAATTCAGGAGAGAAGCTGGCACGAACTTCATGGATAGGCAATGTCATAAGCTGGATTCATCAAAAGTGAAAGGTAATATACAAGTGAAAAAATACCGTGGTCGGTAGTCTGTATGTGTGCCACTGCTCTAAAGCTTAGCAAAGGGTAAATATGTGGCTGGCGCAACCACGACCAGGGCGAAAGCCAGCTGGCTTTCAGTGATTCAGTCCTCACAGGGACAAGCAAGTCAGCGAAGAATGATATTCGTGAGAAATTTGGACGCAATGGAAATAAGACTTATGCTTCGATGGCTTTAGCACAAAGTCCGTTGTCCTTTTGAATATGAGCAAGACAGTTGACAGTCGCCAGACTGAAGGCAAGTCTTCAGTGTCCCAAATAATGGTATACAGAGCAGCATGTTCAATGCATTTTGAGAAAAGTTGGAGATCGTCGGGTACAGGAGTCTTGCATCATTTCAATAATGTAAGCGCATGTCGAATCTCTTCTAAAGTGGAAGTTATGACATTAACTTCCAACGTGGGCTCAGTGATTTAGTAAGTGGCAGTGTCGCAGCAGGCTTGTTGCAGTGCTTTTTAAAATGTTCCACCCGATGAGCTAGTCGACGAAGCTGAGAATGGATCAAGTGTCCATCTTTCCCAGCTATTGCCGACCTAACTTGGAACCTTCTCGGACCCGGCATAGCAGTCAGCTGCTCCTAACAGCTCCGGCATTTTCCATCTCACGGGCTCTTGCCACCCATCAACGTTCCCGTCAGATTCGAAGACTCATTATCAGACGTCATTTAATGGCGGTGTGGACACGCTGGTACTCAGTATCGAAGGACAGCTGTTCCCGTGCGTCGATCAAATTGTTAGAAGCCTCAGAGTTAGGACGTTTCAAGTCGGGTGCATAGTAGGCGTCGAAAGCATTTGTCACGGTAGATTTGAAAAGATCCTAGTCAGGGTTCGGCTCACCACTCTTATTCATTGCGAACACAGAGGGACAGTTCGTCATGACTGTGAGTTCAAATTATGGATAAGGATAGGAATTGGGCGCCAAGCGTGCAAACGCTAGAGAACGGTTGGGATTCATGCTTGTGCTCCAGAATGATCAACAGTCTTGGACTTATGTGCGCCAAATGAAGCTGATGGTTCGTTTATGTCATGGTCATTGAGGAATTCAGTTGGTGCCAGATGACGAAATGCGAACGTCTGTGCTAGAAAACGGTGATGCTGATATAAAGATCGCGGTCGGCACATAATTGCATGAATCGACCACGATCGTCTGTTCGGCGTGCATCTACCCCTACCGCGGCATCCCAGGTGCTGTTTAGACTCTGAGATGCGACCCAGTTGAGCAGCGCACTTAGTAAAAATCAGGATGCGTATTTTTCGGCACTAAGAAAAGAGATAAAAGATGGTGATAAAAAGCATAGTTGATACTCTCATGAATGTCTTCAGTAGAGGCATAAATGGAGTAGATGCAAAGGCACGCTCTCTTCAGACGATGCATAATAACCTCAATATAGGTTCGAAGTCGAACCGCACACATGCGGCTATTCACCGGTATCCAATCGAGCAGTCTGCCTTCAGCATGTTTGCTGTGGGCAATAACAACACCGCAAATACCTTGAACAATCGACTCAGTAACGCCAGAGACGCGAAGAGTGGTCATTGTCAGCAGATTCAGAACCAGGGAATGGAAGATTTGTCACAATGTTTTTAGCTTGTATGTGCGTTTCGGAGACGAAGTACATATGAATACCAAGTGTGAAGAGTGACAGTTAGTGCTGCACGGTGACCGATCTGGCTCAAAGTGCGGACCTTAAAAGAACCAATGTGAAATGAGAACCGTGGTTTGAGGGATAAGTTACAAGTCTCGACAGCAGCAGCTGCGGAATCAGCAGTAGTCTCTTGATCGATACACAGGGAAGAACAGAGTTGAGTGGAGAGAAAAACAAAAGGGAGTACTGTCGTTAGGGTTGAGGGCAAAGGATACTCTCTGGCTACCCATTACGACAGATAGGTTTTGTTCGAGGCGCCCAATAGTAAGACCCACAAAGCAGTGAAACAAATGGATGTATCCTTGAGGGACTCCACCCCGAACCTTTGGTTCAAAAGCTTGACCCACAAGGTAGTGGGGATGAAGAGGTTCGCTAGAAACTACACCAGGAGCATTTGGCTTAATATCCTGATCCACAAGGCACTAGGGAGCATGTGCAGCTCGGACGTGTGACTGCGGAGACCCATTGGGAACTGCAAGAGACCTATTATACAGTTTTGGAGATTTATATTTCACAAGTGTTTTAAGATTGATGTTGCATACGTCATGCTTCGTCACCGCAACTTAGTTACACAGAAGTACACTTAGAGTAGGTCTTCCTAAACAGGATAGATATTCCACTTTTTGATTTGCTTAGTTCTGTTACTCCGCTGGATATTCCGTGTCAATGTTGCGCATTCATTTTCCGTCGAATTCTGTGTTAATATCCCCGGTGTGAATGCGCTTGATGTGAATGTCTGTCAGTCTAACAATCCTTACCTAGATTGCTGGCTCCAGGAGACTGTCAAGCCTTGCTGAAGGGACGGAGTGCACTGTCTTCGTGACCGTACTTGACTCAAAGTTGTTCCATCCAATGTGGAGAGGACTACGGCCCAACCACCGCCTTGTGTACGTCTGGTACGCATAATTCCTAATTTAGAAAAATCAGGAATGCATATGCTGCGTATGCTAAAGAAGTGTTGGCTGGCTCCTTTGGTGGAACGTGGCTCTAATCTATATGCCGCCCGGTCTTATTCCTTCGGGTTTACACTGGATATTGGGTGTGTTGATGTAGCTGTCGGTGGTACAGCGTAAGCCACCCATGGTCCCTCTGTAGGCGCAAGTTTTCTGTGACTGTCCAATGGAGGCCGCAGTGACAGGCAAATCCGGATCCGGAGGCCGCCAATCAGGTTTCCATAAGGGATCGACATTGCTACAATCAGCGAAACTCCGCTCGCTGACCAAGGCAAACGAATAAAGCAAGTGCGAGTTACATATTCTACGCGGTGGGAAACGCTATCACAGCACCAGTTGAACATGGGGACGGATTTGCATCATCCAACCGTCTGAACGGCCAGCCGGTGGCGGAACCGAACGGTATCAACCCACGACTGATGACCCTTCGCCTGCGACTTGGAAGTGGCAAATTTGCCACGTATGGGACCACCATATATTATCCTGAAAACATAAAGGATCAGTTTTACACCCAGTTATCCTCCGTAATAAGGTCTGTGCGGAGGAGCAACTGACTATCCCTACTGGGGGATTTCAAGGTGCGCATTGGGCGTGATGCAGCAGTGCGGTCTTGGCGTAGCCAACGGGGGTGGTGACCGGTTGCTCCACCTATACACACTCAGGGGCTGACGATCAGGAACACCTGGTTTGCAATAGATGTGAGTGATAGTTGGAAGCACCCACGGAGGGGTCAAACTCACCTACTCGATTATGTCACCGTACGCCAGCGTGACATGCGTGATACTGTGTTTTCTTTTAACACAAACCATCATGCGCAAAGTGCTGATAACGGGCAAGTGTCATGATTCCTAAGTTTACAAAGAAAAGTAGAGAACGTTTTGATCTAATCCACTACTTTGAGAGCTGGAAAACTTGCAAGAAATATCAGAACACGATGCACACTGCATAGATGCAAACTTACTATTCATGAGTAGTTGACAGCTCAAAATGCAATTTAAAAAATTGGGACGTCTAAAATCCCGGATAACGCTTTCCTAAATGGTACCCATGTATTTTTGTTCGTCGCAGTCAGTCGACAATTCAGATGAGTCAACTACCTATCCGGAAAAGCACTAGTCGGCCGTTTCGCCCTATTGGGGCTCGTCAGTGATGCGCATCCTTCGGTCCTCTACGGGGGATCGAACCCATGACTGCTAGTGGCTTGGGCCAACTAGCCCGCAACTTATACAGCTGAGCCATGGAGGACGGCAGTCGACCATCACGAATTGTTAGTTAACTGCGATATAGCCCGACCCATCCTCCATTGCCATGCAGGCGCCTGCCATGCAGATGACAGCGGATGGCCTTCCGGCGTCAGGGCTTCCCGATTACGGCAGCTATGAATCGACATAGCATTTATGGAATCCGTAAGGGCGAATTTGTATTACTTATGAGTAGAAGGATGGTGGCGAGTATTTTTATTCGTCGCAGTCAGCCGACAATTCAGATGAGTCAACTACCTATACGGAAAAGTACCAGACGGCCATTTCGCCCTAATGGAGCTCGTCAGTGGGGCGCATCCTTCAGTCCTTCGGGCTATATCGCAGTTAGCTAACAACTCGTGATGGTCGGCTGCCGTCCTCCATGGCTCAGCTGTATAAGCTGCGGGCTAGTTGGCACAAGCCACTAGCAGTCATGGGTTCGATCCCCCGTAGAGGACCGAAGGATGCGCATCACTGACGAGCCCCAATAGGGCGAAACGGCCGACTGGTGCTTTTCCGGATAGGTAGTTGACTCAGCTGAATTGTCGGCTGAATGCGACGAACAAAAATACTCGCCACAATTCTTCTACTCATAAGTGGTACCCATGGTGCCTACCAAAAATTACGAATAAACCTGTGTCCGAGCCAACTTAACAAGTGCATATCACGTCTGAGTACACAGGTCGTCTCGTTTTATTTGTTTATGGCTCGAACAACTGTCATGTATTTGTGAAGAACATTGGTACATCGATAGGTTGAAAAACTAACACCGTATCCAGATAACTCTGCATCATACACACATGAAATTTATGCTTACTATTTCTTTCATTTCATCAACCAATGGCATGAAAACATTGCAGTATTTGTTTTTTTCTACTTGCCTCCTGGGAGCGAGCTTCATATATCGGCGAAAAACATGAAGTTTGAGTTATTTATAAGCCATGATGTATAGTAAATGCTGAATGACTTACATATTGCTGAAGACGCTGAACAGTGACGTAAAAATGATGCCAACCGCGAACATGGATTTCATTTTGACCTAAAGTTTTTAACAAGTGATGAAAAACAACAAAAGACAGTCTACCATCGAAAACTCTCTGCTTATGTTCTTCAAACGCTCTTCCTGCTTTTCTGCATCCACATTGACCGTAGACATTAACTAATACAAACATACCAAGCCGTTTCTTCGCTGTGCGATCGATGGTGATGTCTGTGACATCGCGCTGCTTTTCCACTACAAATCAGAGTCAAAACGCGCATCAGAACGCTCACAGCGTTTGCTCTGTTTATCCACCTCAGATTTCAACTTTTGATACCTCTCAGTTCGGTAAACAAATAACCATGTTAGGCCTTAATAAACAATTAAAAAGGGAGAGCGGTGTACTGCTTACCTTCGCCAAGAAATGCGGTAAAGTAAGATATTAAAATGATCGCAATGGTATCCTGCAGCATGCGCGATTTAACCTGATCAATGGGTAATGGGCTAAAATGAAGAGAGAACAGTTTGACAATCGAAACTGTACAGGAATGGATACGCTAGCAATCACGAATAGATGAACGAGAAATTTAAAGTAGGTGACGAGGGAACGGCTCAGCGAATGGCAGCTCAAGGTCACACCAGTGTGACTTTTCGAGGGTGGTCAAATGAAATCCATCTGAACTGAGTCCAAAAAGGCAAGTACTAGACTGTGGGAAAATCCAGGGGGTACAAACTTGCAACCGGGGACAAGACATCGTGACAGCAAATCTAACAGTGCTTTGTAATCCAGCAATAATAAGGTTCGATGAAGGAATCGGAGTGCAGTGTAAAGTGCAGCAATGAAAGTGAGGGAAAACTAGTATTGAAAAATTTGAACGCAGAGATTCTGAAACGTGGGGTAAACATCTTGTTAGCTGGAAGAGAGGTTGACCACTAGAGCACCTGAAAGTCGACTGCATCATGCAAAAGATGCTGAACATAAACGCAGTTAGTAATCATGATCACGCTGCAAGCGACAGAGTTCTTCTAAGGGGTTTATCACGCGTTCGCCTCTTGTAATCATTAGCCAGTCAACCGTGACCCGATTGGATCCTACAAGCAAGCAATTCTTATGGCGGCAGATAGTTCAAGTTCGGTTGGAACCGGAACGATAGGATAATCCTGTGAATGTTTCTTTCTTTTGCGTATCGTTGAACAGGGAGTTGATAAGTCGACTTGAGATGTTGAAAAAGTTAAAACAAAGACCGTATAACACCCTAGCTAACTAATTACTGCCCACGTTTCCTGACCAGCAGTCCCTGCCAGGTCCGTTTATGCGAAGTAAGCTAAGAAAACAAGAGGAGGAATGTCAGCGAAATAATGAATATACAAAGACATAAGAACAACTAAAAAAGAACAGAAGACGGAAAATACAAGTAGGTTAGGAAAAGGTTCGGTACTGCCACTCAAGGGCATCTAGCTGATGCTCGAAACTCTCAACCGTAAATTCCGTAACGAGGTGCTCCGGAAGCGATTTCCAACGTCCAATAAATCGGCACGACATGCGTGTTTCCGCCCTCACGCGGCCAGAAAGCAGCTTTTGCAGCTTCAACGGGTGACCCTGAAAACTAGGCGTCTTGGCGGGACCAAACAGCCAATAGAAACCTGGACCGATCTTACTCATTAGGATATGGCAAGTGAGGATCAAGAGCCCACTAATTCTCCGGTAGTGCAAGGAGTACATCCCCAAGCTAAGTAAACGTTCGGGATACGTTTACCCTCGGAAACCATGCACAAACCTTGCACCCCCTCGTGAAACTCTCTCCAGTTCCATTTTGTCCTTTACAATATGTGGTGGATAAACTTGGATACAGAATTCTAAGTGGGGTCGCACGAAAGCTGAGAAAAGCTTCACAAAATTATCGGTAGCCGGACACCGAAGGAGCAGCGAATAAACCATATCAAACGGAACCCTCTACAAGCAGTCTTCCTCCAAATTTC